CTGGGGAAACATCTCCTGGCAAGCGCCGAGAAGCAAGAAAATAAACTCTGGTTCTTGTCGGGTCTGGGAAAAACCTTGGGAAGGGTTTGGAGGCTGCTCCAGCTGCAGGAGCAGGACGGCTGCTCTCGCCATTCCTCAGGGAAGGTTTTGGGATGGGGGACGCGCAGCACCCTCCCTCCCCGTCCCCCCCCCGCTCCCGAGAGGAGCGCTCTGAGCCCAGGGCCCCGCAGCGGTGAGCCTGGCCCCACACCACACACTCGCATGGGTCTCAAACATGGTCGTTTAATAAAATCTCCTTTTAAAAGAACTACAATCCATACAACAACGAGGGGCGTGGGGAGAAGGGCAGCAGCCCACGGGTAAGGGAGCAGGGTGCGGGGAAAGGATCTGTGCAGTGACGGCCCCTGCCAGCGACCCCGCCGGGGACGTTCCCACATCACCACCGCTCACCAGCACAGGGCCCTGCCGCTGCTGCCTGCCCTGCCTGTGCCTGCCTGCACGTGCAACGGTTCCTGAGCCTGCAATGGCTCCTGAGCGTGCAACAGCCCCCGTGCATGCAAGAGGCCACCCTGTGCAAGACACCACCTGCATGCAACAGGTCACCTGTGGCTGTGACAGTCCACGCCAGGGTCTGGATGTGAAGCCACGCCTGTGAAAAGCAACCCAAAACTTGTCCCGGGCCTTATGCTGGAGGGGTCACGGCCAACGCACCGGGGGGCTCCGGGTAACGGCGCTGGGCTCTGAGCAAGGACCTGTCGGTGGGGGCTGGCGAGCCCAGATGCAGAGACGGGCAGTGGAGGGGGGCAGGGGCCTCTGGAGCCCAGGAGGTGCCTGGGATGGAGTGGCAGAGACTGTGCCCTGCCCCGGAGGGACGCTTGGAGAGAGCGCCGGGCTGGGCTCCGCAGGGATGCTGCAAAGGGCATGGGCTCCGTGGGGCAGAGAAGCAGCGCAGCAAAGCCGCCGGGCCTTGGCTACCCCTCCCGGCCTCCCAAGCCCCCACCAGTCTCGCTCCTTCCTCCCCCATGGCCACACAGGCTTAAAAACCAAAACCCTGAGCCTTTTCTGAGCGTTCACCCCACGGAGGCCCGGGGTGAGAGCTCAGCCAGCACCCAGGGCTGCTGTGAGGACATTGTCGGCCGGCACAGCCCGGCATGGGATCCCAGGGCACAGCGGCACCAGGACCGCCTGCGCCCCAGGGTCTCTGAGGCCCAGCACCCCCAGAAGGGGATGGAGCCAGTGCAGGGGCCGGGGCAGAGCCTCTGCTCCCGGCCGGGCACCCTGCAGGGCGGCATCCGAAGGTGCATCCCGGGGAGCGATGCCAGCGCCTGCCCGAGTCTGCTCCTGCTCCTGCCCTTGGCTGCCGGGGGCTGCCCGGGCTGGGGAGGAGGGGACAGACCAGGCACCAGCAATGCTACCCACGCTGGGGAAAGTCTCCATCCCTGGCCGAGGGGCTGCGGGCAGGCTGGCAGCCCTGACGCCTTCCGCTGCAGACAGGAGCATGCCCAGGCCCCCCGGCCCCTCTCCCGCTCTCCGATCCCCTCTCCAGCCCTTTCCCAGCTGCTGTTGCATCAGCCCAGCCACAGCCGGGGCAGCAGCCCCCTCCTCAAAGCCAAATGCAAAGAGACAGCGCTGCGGCCCCCCCGGTTCTGTGCCACGGCAGCGGCCGCCCGCCCCGTGGGGCCGGCGTGTCCCCGAGAGCGGTGAGCGAAGGGCAAGGCAGGGACGCGATCAGAGCAGCAAAGAGGACAAGGACGCTGGAAATGGGGGCGATCCCCCCCATCCCATAGCTGTTAGTGGGTGTTTATTGGGCAGGTGTCGAACAGTCTGGCAGAGCGGGGTCTGCGCCCCTTCGCCCGGCTGCGGGTGCCCCTCCGGCACGGCCGCCCCGCCGGGCTTTGGCTTTGGGCATAGAGTCCGTAGCGAGCTCGGGCGGAGGAGAGGAGGGGTGTTACTGGTGCGACTTGGGGTTCGAGGGGTGTAAGGAGGAGTCATCAAACAGCGGGTTCCTCACTTCCATTTCTCCGGTCTGCGGCGGCGGAGGGAGCGGGATGGGTGGAAGGAAAAGGCAGGAGGTCAGAAACCAGCTGGGGTTTGAGCTGCCCTGTCCCCAGGGGTTTGAGTCTGAACCCCAGCCCAGCGGGGAGGAGGGAGGATGGGGGGACCTCGTGGGCTGGGACGGGGTGACACACACCAGGACCCTGCCGTCACCCCTGGAAAAGGCGCTGCCTCCCCACCAGAAGCAGCTGGGGATGCTGGGATGGGATGCTGGTGTGTAAAACCCATGGTTCTGGATGGGATGGGACCCTCAGCCTGGCTGGGGACCTCAGGATGGGACCCCCAGCCCAACTGGCAGGAATGGGGTTCCTTGCCCACACTGGGGACCCCAGGACAGGACCCCAGCCCCAGCTGGCAGGAATGGGGTTCCTCACCCAGACTGGGGACCCCAGGAGGGGACGCCCAGCCTGGCTGGCAGGAATGGGGTTCCAAGCCCAGACTGCCTGCCTGCCATCAAGTGCCCTTTAATGGGCCTGTAAAGACCTAATGATGACCCTTAATCTGGGCCCTGATGGCCAGGCTCCGCAGCCATTACCATGTGAAAGGGTCCTTTCGGGGCCCCTTTGTGCTCTTTGTACCCAGGGCTGTTAGGAGCTGCCCTTCCCCGGGGTCCCCTGCCAGCCAGGAAAGTCCCCCCTGGCTTTGAGGGGTCACAGGTCCCCGGGCTGGGCGCTGAGGAGGCACCAGGACGAGCTCCTGGTCCTGGTGCCCAAGAGCCCGAGGTGACCACGTCCCTGGCACCCCAGGGATGGTGGGGTTGGGTCTGCGAAGGGCTGCGCGGGCTCCTGGGGCCCAGGGCAGCGCTCCCCAGGGCACGGCCCCATGCTGGGGCACCCATACCGGGGCACCCGCTCCTGCCCACTGGAGAGCTCCAGTGGGACCTGGCCAAGGCACATGGGGGAAGCAGAGGGGTTGGATCATCTCAGGTTTTGATGAAGGATGTGTTTCAAAGGCTCCTCGCAAGGAACTGCGCATCCCAGGCATGGGTTGGATCCCACCCCACACGCACAGGGTCCCGCCCGGTGCCCGCCGTACCGGAGCCAGCCCAGGGCACTCGTACACGGTGAAGTCTCCATCCTCATTCTCCTCGTCAGACGATGCCGAGTCCGGCAGCTTGGGCTCCTCTTTATGCCTGGGGGGAGAGGATGCAGAGAGGGTTGAAGCCCAGGGGGATGATTAATGGCACCCCAGTTAATGGCAGGGCATGGACCAGCGACCGGCTCTGCTCCCAGGGCTGCTTACTTCTCCATGGAGAGCATCTGCTGCTTTTGGTGCTGGTAGTGGTACATCTGGACGCTCTGAGCCAGCGTCTTGTCCCCGGGCTGCGGAGAAAGCGAGGACAGGCATGGAGGCCAGGCTCCGGAGAGCCCCAGCCCGGCTGGCGGGTCCCCCCCGCCGCGTCGGAAGCCCCTCAAGCAGAGCACACGCCTGGCCCCAGCGCCAAACACCCTGCAAGGAGGGACGCGGGCGCCTTACCGAGATCTTGTCGTAGGGCAGGGGGCTGGCCGCTCGCTGTGCCGAGTAGTCTGCTTTCTGTGCCAGCCTGACCTCCTTCTGCAGCCTGCCCGGGGAGAGGAGAGCAGTCAGCAGGAGCCACCGGCCTGGATGACTCCATACGGGAGCCAGCGACCGCTGGGGGGGCTCAGCCCTCCCACCCACATCCCTGTTCCCTGCGATGGCACCCACGACGGGTGGCACCCCCAGGCACAGCCACCTCCATCCCGCGGGGCCTGGGCGCGAGGCACCGATGTGCTGGGGGTGTCAGCACCCAGCGCCACAGCGATGCCCAAAGCAGGTGCCACCGCTCCCAGGAGCCCGTGCCTGGCACGGGGGTGTCCCACCACCGTCCTCCAGCCATGACCGGCAGATGCTGTACCTGCAGGGGACTGGCAAGGACAGCTATTGCCTCTCCTCCAAACCCTGCCACGTGCCCAGGAAGCACAGGAACAAGCTCCCGTGGGCACAGGGACACTGAGGGACTGGCTGGCACCAGCAGCCCCCGGCTCACCTGCACCAGCAGACCGCAGCCACGATCAGTGCCGAGATCCCGGCCACTGTGCACACCACGATCAGCCCTGCAGAGGTGGAGCGGGACACAGAGGGACAGCGGGTGAGCCTGGTGGCACGGTGCCACTGGCCCACGCCTCCCCGGCGAGGACGTGAAGCCCCTTCCCGCCAGCTGCCTGTCCCCAGGGTCTCACCGAGCACCACGTCGTCATTGGAAGGGATGGGGGATGCCTCCACTGGGTACTTCTGGACAGCGGCGCTGGTGGAGGTGGGGAGGGTGGTGGCTGCCTCGCTGGCCGGCGGGCCCCCGCTGCAGAAGCCCCTCTCTCAGCCTGCTGGCCACGTGCTGTTTGCCACCAGCAGGGACTGGGGTGGCTGCGGGAGAAGGCAGAGCCGTGAGCGGAGCAGTGCCCGGGCAGCACTGGAGGGCAAACCAGCCTGGGGTGCAGGGTCTGGCTGCCGCGGGGCACCTGGCATCGCCGCAGAGAGCGCTGGGAGCGGGGAAGCAGGCACTTACTCCTGGGCTTGCCATCCCGCAGCGGGTGGGGGCGAGGAGCCTCTTGCCTGGCCAGCACGTCTGCCAGGAGATCGATTTCTTCTTCCAAGCTGGGAACGGATGTCCGCCCTGCGCCAGGAGAGAGTGAGGTGAGACGGGCACCCCGGGACGCGGCCGCGCACCCAGCCCCAGGGCCGGACCCAGCATCCTCCCGAGAAGGGGCTCACGTCCCAGCACGAGCAAATGCTTGTTTGGAGTCCAAGCCCACTCGGATGCAGCCCTCCGGGCTCCCTGGCGGTCCCGAAGCCAAGCGAGACCTGGGATCTGCACGTGTCCTCGCTGCTTTTGGGATGCTTTTCACCCCACAAATGTTGGAGGCTGCAGGAGCAACAGTGCCCCCGTGCCAGAGCTGCTGCAGAGCCCCATAGGAGCGGGAGGCTGCCAGCACCCGCTGCTCAGGACCCCCGTGTCCCTGCACCCGGGGCCATGCAGTGAGGGGCGAGGAGGGACACAGGCTGGAGCAGGAGAGGCCCCAGGGGTGCCCCGCCGCTGCGGGGTGCGAGGGGCAGCTCTGGCAGGGCGAATCACAGAGCCGCAGCGGAGCCATTTCACGAGCAGGCAGGGGACACCCGAACGCTGGTTTTCACCCCAAATTGTCCTGTACAGCCCAGGGGACTGGAGCCACCCCAGAGCAGGGCTCACCCGGGGCTGTCCAGGAGCTGGTGGGAACCCCCGCTCCAGCTGAGGGGCCGGGTTCTGCCCAGCGCCCGGCAGGATGCGGCCCCTTTGGGGAGGGGGTCGGGGTGCCCCACGCAGCGAGGACCATCCTGTCTCGCCGGGGGTGGCTGGGCATTTCCCGGGTGGCTGCCCCAGCACGGTCCACGGCAGGGACCCACAAAGGCCGGGTGCCCCTGCGGCGTGGGGCAGGGGCAGGACCCCCACCCCAGCCTGGGGGTGCCCACCCACGGGGGTGACAGTGTGGGGCAGGAGTGGAGCTGCTGTCCTCAGGCTGCCGAGCGGAGTCAAGCTCCGACGCTCACCACTCTGCTTTTAACAGGATTAAACTCAACTTCAAAGGCAGGAGACGTCCCCGTCCCCATCCCTGCTCCCTCTGCCCCCGTATTCAGGCTGTCCCCAGCGGGAAGCCCTGGAGGGTAAATCAAGACATACAAAGGCGAGGTGGTACCCGCAGCTCGCTTCCCGGATAATTCAAGGTTATAACAATTACGGTTCCTCTGGAATCTGTCCTCGCTCCCGGTGTTTGGAAATAAACCCCAGTTCCCTCCGGAGCTGGGCACAAAGGCCACTCAGCCGCTCTGTGACTCAGAGCCACACAAGCCAAAAACCAGTTTAAAAGGGGGAGACTCTTGCTTTAAATAAGTCCATAAAGAGCCACTGTCCCCACATCCCCTGTGTCCCCTGGCTTCCCGAACCGCCCCTCAGCCTCCCGTCCTTGGCAGGAGCCAGAGCACCCCACGAGCCCCGGCTTTCCCCAGCTCTTTGCACCCCGTTATTTCCACCCCCAAAGTGATTTGCAAAGCAGCGCCATGGCGCCGCGGTGCCAGGTTTGGGGCTGTGCCACCACCAACGGGCGAGTGCCATGATGCCAAGGTGCCGGCGCGGGGCCAGGCTCTCCCGACGGGCAGGGGAGCTGGCATGGGACTGAGCGTGACAGCCCTGCGCCCGGGATGGGGACAGCCCGGCTCTGGCTCCCCACTGCGCTCAGGGAAAGGCCTGTCCCCATTCCCATGGGACCTAGGGGACAGCCCATGCTGTCACCGTCAGGCCTGGGGGAACTGGGCTGCCTTGGTGCTGCCACCAACGGGGCGCCCGGCCCGGCTCTGCCCCGACACCCCTCAGCCGTGGGCAGACGCAGCCGAGGCTTCAGGAGGATGAATGTGACGTGGCTGGAAAAGGAAAAAAAAAAAACAACTGGAAAACCAGCAAGAGCAGCTCCCAGGTCACTCTGAGCCTCCGCTGTGCGAAGCAGCAGAAGGAAAACCAAGGCAGCTCTGCCGTTTGTGGTTCCTGGCATTGCCGGCAGTGCCCGGGCCGTGCTGCTCACCTGCATCAACCAGCCTTATCGCCAAGTTCCCTTTCAGCGGCTAAAAATCCCCGCACCCCTGTTGTGTTCAGCAGCTGTGATTTCCCCCGGGGATGCCACATCTGCCACCCCACAACATTTGCAGGGCAGAAGCAGCCTGGCACCGACGGCCGGTTCCTGCCGGGCACCGCGGGCGGGTGAAACGCTGCGGTGAAACGCTGCAGTGAAATGCGGGCCCAGGGCTGCTCACCAGGGAACAGGGGGCTGGGGCTGACCCCCGATTCCTGCCCAGCTGCCCCAGGCCCTGGCTCTTGCTGCAGGAGGAGCAGAGATGGGGGCTCCCAGAGGCCCCCCCAGCCCTGCTGCAGCGAGTTGGGCGTGCTGGGCTGGCACAGGGTGCGTGCAAGGTAGGCACAGGGTGCACACAGGGTATGTGCAGGGCATGCAGAGTGCACGCAGGGTATGCACAGGGCATGCAGGGTGCACGCAGGGTATGCGCAGGGCTTGCACAGGGCAGGCAGGGTGCACACAGGGTGCACACAGGGCTTGCACAGGGCACAGAGGGTGCACGCAGGGTACGCACAGGGCACACAGGGTGCACACAGGGCATGCACAGCGGGCACGCAAGGTATGCACAGGGCACGGAGGGTGCACGCAGGGTGCACACAGGGCTTGCACAGGGCACAGAGGGTGCACGCAGGGTACGCACAGGGCACACAGGGTGCACACAGGGCATGCACAGCGGGCACGCAAGGTATGCACAGGGCACGGAGGGTGCACGCAGGGTGCACACAGGGCTTGCACAGGGCATGCAGAGTGCACGCAGGGTATGCACAGGGCATGCACAGCAGGCATGCAGTGGTATGCAGAGGGCAGGCAGGGAGCACGCAGGGTATGCACAGGGCATGCACAGCGGGCATGCAGGGGTATGCCCAGGGCAGGCAGGGAGCACACGGGGTGCACACAGGGCTTGCACAGGGCACAGAGGGTGCATGCAGGGTACGCACAGGGCACACAGGGTGCACACAGGGCTTGCACAGAGGGCACGCAGGGTATGCACAGGGCACGGAGGGTGCACGCAGGGTGCACACAGGGCTTGCACAGGGCACAGAGGGTGCA